AACCGCCCCTCTATGAACGTGAAATGCTCCTCCATTCCAGAAATGATTTGCCTCACCTCTTCCGCTATTATTTCCCACAAACATCCACTTTGTTGGTTGTCATAACTCACAGGAAGAATTTTGATCACAAAGGCCGAACTCTATACATCGCAATCTTGTCGTTTCTTTCCTAGCTAGCTATAGAACCGTGATTGTGTCGCGGGAACAGGAATGTTCACAAAGGCAACACGAAGGAGATGCCTCGTATCCCGCAACCACTTCATTGGCTTCCTAGCTAGGGAGAATCACAAGTATTTCGTGTGGTTTAGTCACGAAGGCGAAGATTGTACCTCGCGATCCGATTGTTGGCTTCTCAACTATGTAGAATCAAGACTTTTTTGCACAATGTCAGATAGGGGTGAGCATTCAGTCAGTTCGGATGGTTCGGTTTTCAAATTGGGCAAACCAACTTCAAACAAAATCCAAATTTCAAAGTACCGATCCAAACAAAATTTTGATAAAACCGAAGTTTAATTCGATTTGACCAATTCGGTTTTGCATAAACCGAAATATAGTTTGAAGGTATAAAAATATGATGATAATTAGTGAAAATGAAGATTACTAAGCGATGAATATGTAAGGCTGATCACTAAAAAATTTACTTCCTAAAAATTTCAAAAAGGATTTACCTAGAAAATTAGGTTTTCACCTCATTGAGTTAAATAAGAAGTAAAACCAAACCAATAACCGACAACCAAACTCTAGCATTTCTAAAACTATAATCAAAATATTTTTAAAACCAAACTGAATCAACCAAATTAACTTAGTTTGATTTGATTTTTCAGTTTAAACCAAATAATGCATGCCCCGTCAGGCCACGAAAGCAGCGCCTATACATTGTGATCCCATAGTTGGCTTCCCAACTAGGTAGAATTGTGGTTGTTTCGTGTGATTCAGTCATGAAGGTGACGCAACGGAGACCTGTACATCGATACCTCAAATCGTGGTCGTATCGCGAGATTCGATGACGAAGGCGATTGTGATCCGGTTGTTAATTTCCAAGAAATCAATCTTCAATATCAATTTCACAGAGATTATAACAAACAAAATCTTTTATTTCACTAACACAAAACAACACAACCCGAATACATAAAATGATAAACACCTAAAATTTGAGAGGTAGGCAATCTCTACTAAACCCTAACACTAACCCGCATATTTAAAACAACAATCAAATATCATAACTTAATTATAACATATTAAACCATATTTATACCCCGCAATAATTACTATCATGCATATCATTTTTAATCATGTTTATCAAGTGTATTTTTCCTTATCACATATATCGTGCAGATCAAGTATATCATACATATCGCACATTTCTATCATGTTCAAAATAATATAAATAATCTAACTAAAATAGAATATATATGAAATCAAACATATATTTTGAAATAAAAAAATACTAAAATTTAGAAATATGATTACGCACATCAGTTGTCGCACTAGATTCTTGATCTTTGATAACTAACTGGACGTTGCGGTAACTTTTATATTAATCTTAATGACCTATAAAACAAAACATTAAACTTTAAGATTCAACTAATTTCCGTAAATCGAATTATTCATATTAAATTAGCATGAAATTATTTTACCTGAAATTTACGGAATAGTCCTTCGACGAACTTCTACACGCTTGCCCAAATTTGTCATTTTAAGTAAACAACCTGAAATCTTAAATGACTTAGAGATTTTGAATATCATAGTTCATAAAGTAATTGAACTCAAAATATAATTGAATTGCTAAAACATACCTTAAACAGCCTTCTCGGCAGCTAGCTATTCTCTGCCCAATCTTCTTCTCTTCTTCTTAACTTTGCTTACTCCCTCTTAACCCTCTTGAATTTGTGTTGGAATCTCTTTACGGAAACTCACAAGCCACTTACGACACTTTTGACATCATTTCATAGCTTCTGACGACTATCAAAAACAAACAATGCATGAAAAACGAGGTAAATATCAAATTGGAAGCAAAGAAAAGAAACAAAGTTTGAAAAGCATTCAAATCAATTTCACACTTACCAATTTTTCCCTAGAGCTCTGAACCAAGGCCTGCGGCACTCGGTCGTGCGTGCAGCCTGTTGCAGGTCGTGATTCTGCTACAGTGCAGAATCACGCAAAAGCAACAGAAAGATGAATCACTGCGAGAAATGAAGAAAACGGGAGATGGGAAGAGGCGTGATGCTCTGCGGCTTCACTGTGTGCGCTCGCCCCTTGCTATAGTGAATGATCGCGGAATCCTTAATTGTCGAGCGATCAAACAGGGGGATCGAATCAGCATGCGAGCAAAATCGAGAGGAGGAGAGGAGTGTCGGCAGAAGGGAGGAGAAATTTTGAAGGCCCTGGAAACCATTCGATTGAAACCCTCGAATAAAAAGGCGTGAGAGGCGGTTTAGAACAGAGAGGGGATTAGGGAGGTTTAATTAGGGTTAATTAATTTATAAATTCTTATTTTTATATCCCTCATTCCATTCAAAATTTATATAAAGTGTTTTATATTGAATTGATTGATTTGACACATATAATATTATAAAATTGATTGGGTTGAATTCTGAAGAATCTAAAATTTGAGTTATATTTTTTATTGTCAAAAATTTTATCCGATTTCTCAAAATGGATTATTATATTTTGCATATTGCTTTTTGATCTTGATAACGGCAAACATAAATAGTGAAAAAGTGGAATAGAATGGGTGCATTTTATTTAACACATTCATATTTACAAGAATGAGATAATCAAGTCTAATAGTGCGAATGTTAGAAAGAAATGATAAACGATGTTGATACAGTGTATTTAAGTAGATTTTTTAGACTAAGAAAAAGAATATTGCATAAATTGTATTGTAAACACCATTCTTATTATTTTCAACTAAAATATAATTATCGAATAAAGTGTTAAAATAATCCCCCAACTATTTACATGAGTCATTTTAGTCTCATATTATCACGACCCAGCCAGAAACTTGAAATTAATCAAGCCTGGAACAGACGGTCGGACGGTGGATATGAAATTTTCTATATTTATTTGTCATTTAACAAATAAAATAGTTACTAATCAAATTAAATTAAAACAATATATTTAACTTTATCTCGTTGCTAGTTGTCCGTATCTTCTATAAATATTTTCCGTTATATCGCTCATCTTTTAATTACTTAATTAACCTGAAATGTTAATTTAAATTAACAATGAGCTAAATAAATCAGTGAATACGTGTATTCCTAAACAACAACAATACAAGAAAAAAAAAGTAAAATTCATGTCATTAAACTTTTAATAAATTACTAAAATTTTAGATGGAATCACAAAATCTTATTGTATCAATAGCATATAAATATCATTCTATAAATGTACAACTATCACAGGAATACCGTTTAAAAATTGTATCACTTAATGTATTTCAATATCAATATCCTTTTTCATATACGCGCACAGGTACCTTAAAGTTCCCCACCAGTACCATAAAGGTATAACTCTATTATAGTCAATCATGCACATATAAGCACACAATCAAAATATCAATTTAAGATAAAAATTTTCATTATCATTTGCATAACAGTCAATATTTTTATAAATCATTCAATATTTACGATAATTTAATTAATATTATACACACATATCATTCCAATAATATGAACAAAAATTCAATATGATTCAAATTCCCAAATTTGTAGTAATTTCAATATAACTAATGATAGTATTAGTAAATACATTTGATCTAAAAGAAGCAAAATATTACATAAGTACTGACCTTAGTATCGATTAAATTGTTATTTGATTTGCATAGAAGTTGATTCCTATAAATTGGAAACCTAGCATAAATATAATAATTATATTACCAAATTTAAAAAAAAATTAATATTTTAAATAGCTAAAAATTTTCATTAGTTTCCTTTATATAATTCTATTTATTCTTATATATATATATATATTCCTCAACAGCTCATTAGGGCACGTGACATGAACCAAAAAAACTGCATGATACTCCTCTCCCGCACTAGCTCTCAACGCCGACACCTCCTACTTTCTTTGTATGGTAGTAGTGTATGCAAATCCAGTAGAGCTTCTCCTTTGATTGTGGCTTGTTACCAACATCGGCTCCTCCTCCTCCTTTGCTCGCCACCTCCTCCGCTTGACACCGACACTAGCCAGGTGAAATCCTATTTTATCTCAATGTCTCCCGAGTCTTTCGACTGTCAGATAGGTGAATCTCGCCTTAACAGCACCGTTTTATAGAGAAATGATGGTTGAAGAACAAACAGTGAAGAGGAAGAAGAAGAAGAATGGAGAGAAGAATCTTTCAAAATCCTAAAGATTTCCTCCTCCAAAGCTTTCCTCTATACTCTTCTCACCAAAGCCATGGAGAAATAAGAATAAAATGAAGAGGAAGAAGAGGAAGATGGATGAAGGACCAAGACACTGGCCAGGTGAAACTCTAGTTTATCTCAATGTCTCCCGAGTCGTTCTACTCTCAGATAGGTGAATCTCACATTGACAGTGTTGTTTTATAGCGAACTCATCGTCTTGGCTTTCGATCCCCTCATTTCAATTTTGCCCAACTTCTCGCTCATCTCATCTTGTTCGGCTTCCTCTCTCTTCTTGTTCGGTTTCCTGACTCTTCACGTCCTCATCCTCAGTTTCTTTCGTTTCTTCTTCCCCCGCTAACTAAAACAAGAGCACGGGACGTTACACATACTCTATAAAAGTGCTAAATTAGTCCCTAAACTTGTCAAAATTGAGGCTTAAATACTCTTCCTAGTGGACTATTTTTGGTCTATATTAAAATAGTGTAAGGATTAAATTGGCATTTTATAGATTTTGGAACTAAAATAACCGCTTGCAAAAAGTGGAGCTATTTTATCACTTTTTCATAATTATTAGTAAACATAATCAAAGTTCAACCATTCAACAACAGCAATATTATATTTTGATGAAATCAAGCAAGAAAAAATGTCACTTACTGGGTGGCGACCAGAACTGATAAATATTTGACCTGGTTCATCATCACTTACAAAAGTTGGTCGCACGTACTTCTGAAGATAGTAAATTAGTTGCATGGTGAGATAGAAATGTAATCATTTGTTTAAAAAAAAAAATGGGCAGGTGAATTAATTACCTGATCTCTTGAGAGAATGGCTAGTGAATGCAAACAGTCCAAAGCAGCCAGAGCCTGAACTGAAGCCTGAAATTGAGCATAGTATTTGCCAAACTCTGTCAAAAAATTAGCCCATGTTTTCCTGCATGTAACAGCAAATTCTTCTTTTGCAAGAACCAACTCATCCAAAGTTGCCAGGACCTGTGGGGGATGATATCTCACTGACTTCTTAGTACTATTTACCTTAACCCAATTGGAAGGAACCTTAGTATCAGAAGATAACTGCAGTAACAAATATGAAGCAATTTAGATCGCCGGAGGAAAATATATTCATGTTTTAACGATCTTATCTCAATTCTGAATTAATATTACCATCAACCAGCCATGCATGAAAAACCTTGAGAATTGTGGGAGAAGTAATTAAAGAAAAGATAGCACCATGAAAGCAAATGATGAAGATCACCCTAATCAAATTTTTTTAGCAGTTACAAGCAGGAATTACTTCAATTAGATGGGTGACTCCAGACACAGCGATGAATTCTAAATTCCGCATTCCAAGTTGTTTTCGGTACTGAATAATTAATGAATCTAGCTTTTCTTTGGTCGTTTGAACAGCTATTTGGCCAAGAGCAACCTGTGAGACAAAAAATAATAAGAATGCAAAAATCAAAGGGGAATTTACATAGATACCACACAATTTTTATGTATTTACATAACTAACGACTAAACTTTAATATTTACATTTGTGACACAGAAATCTTTAACATCACATCAAAAATAACACTTTCTTAACTTTTGGAAGGTCAAATGCACCTTTTTATGCATAGGTTTATAACACCAATGTGTTCTTCTAAATGTAAATATCAATGCTAGAAATGCAAATCCATAAGAGTTGTGTGGATTGTATGTAAATTTTCCAAAATTAAAACAATTTTGGTGTCAATACAATAGCCTACCTCTGGGAACTGACCACCAGAAGCATTGAACAAGTTCAGCATATCACACTGATTAGCTGCATCCTTGTTAAGAGAGGAGAGAAGCTGTGCAGCTCGAGAAATTAAAGAAGATGATGATGCAGTAAAAATTAACCTTCTCAGAAGAGTAGATTTCACCATCCTCGTAACATTATTTTCATCATCTTCAGCATAAAGTTTCTGTAATTGCTTGCCGGATAGAAGGATAGCTTGGATGGCCCCAATGAACTGCAATGCTACAAAAGCTGTTAGTGCTAATCACAATTGATACAAATTATGAAGAATCTAAAAAGTTCAGTATCGAGAACCTAAAGATCAAAAGTATTAAGAGAATTATTGGTTTATCCTTACAATGACAATATCTAGATGGCAAACAGTGCATCCTAAAGAGCAAAACGGGGTGAATTAGAACATTTAATTCCTATCAGGACATGGTTCAAGTCCAGAGCTTAACCATTCAGTTTTCATCTCTAGCTTTGCATGAAAAAAAAACAAGATGCAGGTTTCCAATACTAGAATTCATCGTCTATCATGTAACATTGCAAAGTATTAGAACAATAAGGAAATGCAGGAAACATTTTTTTATATACTTTTTAATGGGAATATAAAGTATGGGAGACGATGGAATAATACTTCCATCTTCTTCACATTCAAATAGGTCGCAAAACCAATCCCACTATTTGTGAAATTGTGAGGAACAGCGAACTGGAACTCAGATTTACATGCAAGAATGAGAAAATAAAAATCAAAGGGAAGAGCAGAAAAAGTTATGAACTTCTTTTTCCATATAATTTTCATTTATTTTTAATTTTCCATTATTTCCATTTTGAACGACCATCAAAAAACAAACTTGGGAGCAACAGCAAGCATTAATCACGCACAAAAATGGACGCTCTTTGTCCTAGAGCAAAGATTTACACTTGACCTTCTCGGGCTTGCATTTTCTTCAAAATACAAAATATGGTTTCAAGTCACTCTTATTTTTCATGCACATAAACGTTCTGTTATATAAAAAAAAATTCTGATAAAAAAATACATTTACAGATGAGAATACTAGAAGGAAAATAAATAAAATTGCATTTTGCCAAAATAAAAGGAATAGAAAATTAAAAAATGGAAAGCCAATTCCTGCTTTGAAGTATTCACATTAAGATATTCAATTCCTTTACTCTCACCATCCCATTATTTTTATCTCAGCTTATATTCATTCTAGAATTTTGAAGTATATACATCATCTATCTGCCTGCTTGTCTCCAAAAAATCAATTTCTGTAAAGTCTTAATTTCATTTTATCAGACCTTTGAACCGTTGGCCTTTAACATAAATAACATTCAGAACGGATGATTGTTAAAAGCACCTCAGCTGCAGTAGCAGTTCTGTGAAAAATTCTAGTTATCCCCCGCTGTACATCGGGAGACTTCCCCAACATCTTTAAAACATCTGACATTATAGAACTGGTTTCATTGCATGAACTTTCTTTAGTTAAAAAAGCTGCTTGTAAAACTCTACAAGAACCCATTGAATCTGCGATTTCGGTAACTGCATCAAGGCGTGCAATTATGGAGTTTCTATCACATAATGGATGAGTAACCTAAAAAATAAATAAACAGGTAAATCAAATCTGAATAAATAGCAAACTCACACCAAAATTTAAATTTTACTGCAGAGTGCAAATCAATCATGTGACAGATCTCGATCTCCTTAAACCAACCATACGAGACGACATAGACAAGGATTATATATATATAATAGAGAAAAATGTTAAAATGGTCCCGTCTCTTTGAAGGGGATTGTTTTAGTCATAAAGTCTGTAAAAGTGTCAATTTAGCCCCTAGATTCTATTAATGGGGGGGCTCAAATAGACCTTCATGGGGATAAATTTAGCCCATATTAAAGGTGTCTGAGAACTAATATTGCACTTTTATAAACTCTTGGACTAAAATGAACCCATGTAAATAGTCAGGGGACAATCTTGGCACTTATATATAATTTGTTTTCATGGATATCATTCATAAACTCACAATGTGCACTACTTTTGTGTATCAAAAAATACTTTAATTGATTAATGCAAATTCAATTTTACTTACCTGATTAATCATTCATCAAAAACATTTATTGAGTTATAATATTGTTAAACAAATCTACAATCAAATGATGACCAGTTGCGTTACCCAGTGTTTCAGAAGTCTTGATCCAAATGAAGTGCAAGTGTGATCCATAGCATGCAGCAATGAACCTTCAATAGAACCATTGTAGCTGTTTCGCAAGACCTGAAACATTTCGTACATTATTTCTACTCAAAAGAGTAAATTGATTAAATCTATAGAATTCAACAAATTATTGTAAATCAAAAAACAAAAATTTAATATACAAAACAGATATTTCTAAGTCGCTTGGAATACCTATATTTCAGAGGATGCTGCAATCAGCATCATTGTTTACCATGAATTCACTGAGCTTAACATCTATCACTAGTCAGCTTAATATTTGCTAACAAAAATTTTAACTAAATTGATATTTGTATGTTGCTTGATATACCAATAGTAACATTCATTCATTCCCTTGAGAGAGAGAGTGAGAAATCATTCCTTAAAATCAAGGGAAATTTGCATACATAGCAATTCTTACGTATTTAGATATCTGACAACTAAACTTTCATATTTACATGCATAGCACTTTGGTGCTATAAACCTATGCATGAAAATGAGTATTTCAGTTTTCAAAAGTGGTAATAGTGTTATTTTTTATATGATATAAAAGATTTGAGTGTTGTGTGTGTAACTATGAAAGTTTAGGTATACATAAGAATTGTGTGCTATGTACACAAACGCCCCCAAAATCATTACTGAAACCAACCCCAATAAATCTGCCGACTTTCAACCATTCAATCCGTCTGTGGTTGTCCGCCTGGCAGGCCCGTCCAAGGCTATCTATTCCTGGTTAAAACATCCTAGGCTGCCAGCCCACAACTGCTCTCTCTCCCATGTTTATTGATCTATTTGATTATTGATGCCACCTCACCAATCCATGTAGGCTATCCTATTGTGAATAACTTAAATTCCAATACTTAATTTTATATATTCCATATTAAAATCTCTCAGAATTATATAATTTTTCAAATGGTTCTTTCTAATTCTTGTTACATATAATAGATATTAAATAAATTTTTCATTCACTGCCTTCTCTCATTCTCATCTGATAATAAACACTCCTCAAATTAGTCATAGAAGATATCATAGCAACCTTCATAATTTCTAACATAACATCCAAATAAGGAATAGGAAATGTGCATTTAATGGTGATTTTATTAATAGCCCTATTTTCTACAAATATATATCAACTACTATCTTTCTAAGGTGTACGCAAAGTATAGAACTATGGCATGCCTTTCCCAAGAAAACTATTCTTAAATTCATCAGCTTGTCTCTTTAAGTTTAAGATATCTCTAATGAGAAAACTTAGGCAATGATGACCTAAGAAAAAATTTAATTATAAGTTTTATGTTCCTTAGTGATGCTAACTCACGAGAAAGATTGGCAAAAATATATATTAAAATTAACAAACACTTAATTAATATCATCAGGTAAAGTCACAATTCCCATCGCTACACTATTTAGCTCCATAACAAACAAGGGCATAAATCACACACCCAAAGCCTACTTTTTTCTCTCAAATATATGTTTACTCGGAATATATATAAACAAATAAATAAAAGAATAGAACTTTTTGCTTCAAATAGAATATGAATTCTTCTGCAAATTTGAATTCACCCTTAGGCTTTTTATGCTTAAAATTCACCCATCTCTCATTAGTTTTCAAAGCATATACATTCGATATCCCAAAATAAGTAAAATCTACTTCGTGAAGCTTGGACCTACCCATATAATATAAGCAACGGCCATATGCAGCACATCACATTATACTCTATTCTATAAGTAGCAAATTTAATCCAAATTAAACATCTCCAAAACATCAAATAGCTAATTTATTAACCCATGCTACCTTATATGGTCATGGATGCAGTTCAAACTTCAAATTCATGTGGCCAAGGTCAAACTTTGATACAAAATTAATGCAGCTCCATTATCAATCATGAGCTCGCACAACTTTTCCAAGTCTGCCTAAAGCAGCAACGTTGCCCCAATGTCACACGAATCCTTCTGGTTGCAACTGCTCGCATTTGTTTCCAACTTCGACGCTCTATCCAGCAGTGGGTGGAGGCGATTTTGTGTGAAACTCCATGATCTTCTCCGTCATTTCTTCTAGGGTCATGAATCTTCCCTCCATTGATGAGAGCCACCCCTCCAGAGACGAGAAACATTCCTCCACTTTGGATCTTATTTGGTTTTACCTCCTCTAATTTCTTCTCCAAAGCATCTACTCTTTTGGTGGTCATTACTCCCAGGATGATTTTTACCAAGAAAACAAAACTCGTGTAAGCTGCAATCTCACCAATGGCTTCCCAGGTAGCCAAATCTTGCATGCACCATCAGGTCATAAGTCGATATCCCTTCTTTGCTTCCATAATCGCTTGAATCGAAATTGTATAAGGTGGTCATAGTCACGCTCACATCCATGGCTTCACAGCTAGGTCGAATCGGGACTGAATCACGCAGTTTGGTCTCGAAGGACGACTGTATGGTTTTGATCATGCATCCAGCCAGTTGGAATTGTGATAGTATGTTTGTGATCCCGTTGTTTGCATCCCTATGTTATCACGTCGTCGCCTTCCTAGCTAGCTTTAATCATGATTATCATCGCACACTATACCGACTACGGCATCGACTTCCTAGCTAGATCTTATTGTGATTGTATCGCCTGATCTTGGCGTCCTCACTAACTCTAATTGTGACTTCGAGGGCTTGAGTAGTGATCCGGCCGGCTTCTTCCCAGCTAGCTCTTACCGCGACTGTATCGCGATCACGCGCCCAATATAGCGCCGCAATTACGTTGGTTGTTGCCCTGTTATTTCTTCTCCAGATTCAGATACCAATTTGATACGATTCAAGACGATTTTCCACGGAAATTAGGGCACAAAATATTTTTATTTCACTAATCTCAAATCAAATCAACACAACACCAAATAATTCACACAAGCACATAAAAGATAAGCACTTGCAATTCGAGAGGTAAGAAATCTCTATCAAACCATAACCCTAACACTCAAGACAACAATATCATAACTAACCCGAACCCTAAACATATTAGCCATATTTATAATCACAATAATAATATCAAAAGAGTAAATTGTCCTTATCCTAATAAAAGATAAAATTGTTCTTAGGTAGACGTAACACATTGTTGCTTCTAAGAGAGAGAGGTCTTGCAACCAACATCCAATGTCTCAATATACGTCATATTAAAATCTCTCACCCATTTTTCAGGCTTTTACAACACATTTGTCTTACATGGAGATTCCTAAGACTATGCATTATGCTTTGAAATTTCCTAAGTGGAAGGAGGCTGGCTTCGAGAAGATGAAAGTTCTAGAAAAAAATATCACATGAAAATTTGTTGATCTACCTAGAGGGAAGAAAACTATCAGATACAAATGGGTATACAATTAAGTATAATTTTGATGGCTCTCTAGAATGTCGCAAGTTTTGATTAGTTGACAAGAGACTCGCTCGAACATATGACATTGATTACTTAAAGACAATCACCCCAGTCGTAAAACTAACCTCTAAAAGAGTTCTTCGATCACTCACAACTAATCTTAACTGGCCCCTATAACAGTTACATATAAAAAATGTATTTCTCAATAGCGGATTGGAAGAAGTGTACATGGATGCACCTTCAGGATTTAGTAAGAAGTTTGGCACAAAGGTGTGTAAACTAAAAAAGTCTGTATACGAGTTGAAGCAATTACTGATAACATGGTTTGAGAAATTTATACTATTTGTTAAAGGTTGGGGCTATACTAAAGGGCAGGCTGCGAGATAATATAATGTTCTTCGGACATTCAAAGGACAGGAAGATAGTCATGTTGATTGTGCATGTGAATGATACAATTCTCACTAGAGATAACGTATATTAAAAGAAATGATTAAAAACTTCCCTCTCATCAATTTTTGAGACTAAGGACTTAGAATCTCTAAGGTAATTCCTTAGCATGGAAGTTGCTAGATCGAATAAAGGGGTTATTGTTTTATAACGGAAGTATGTTCTTGATCTTCTAAAGAAAACTTGGATGAGCAGTTATAGGCTTGCGCACTTCAATTAATCCCAATCAAAAATTGGGTCATGAGAATGAAGGTAACCTAGTAAATACAGCTTGATATCAAAATTGGCAGATAATTTGATGTACTTATCACATATACTGCTAGATATCGCCTTTGTTGTAAGTTTGGTAATTCAATTTATGCATTCAACATCTGAGAAACATCTTGAAGCAGTTAACGGTATTCTCATATGCCTTAAAACTTCATCATGTTAAGGTTTACTCTTTCAACAAACCAAACAACAGAATATAGAGGCATACACTGATGCAAATTAGCAGCCTCAATTTTTGACAGGCGATCAAAGTCCAGGTACCATACTTGTGCCTGGGGAAATTTGGTTACATGGCAAAGTAAAAAATAGAATGTGGTTACAAGGAGTAGTGCCAAGGTAGAACATTGAGCTACCGCTAATGGAGTGTGTGAGATGTTATGGCTGAAGAGAATTACTAAAGAGCTACGGATCCCGACAAATATGTAGATGAAGTTTTAATGTGACAACAAAGCTGTCATGAGCATTGCAAAAAATCCAGCGCAGCATGATCGAACAAAATATACGGAGATTGATAGACTATTCATATAAGAGAACATTGATTGTCGATATTTTTATGTCTTTCACTCTAACAGTGCAAGAAATAACATATATTTTCACCAAGAACTTTTTAAGCCTAATTTTGAGTTCTTTGTAACTAAGTTGATAGATATGCATGCTCTAACTTGAGGGGTGACGGAATTTTAAAAATTTCCCATTTTGATATCTTTTATTTTTATTATTTTCTATTATTAGTAGTTTTTACTTTTAGAATTAACTATTGTTGATAATTTCTATTTCCTTTTCTAGCATTAGGATATTGAGGATTTTCTAAAGTGATGGTCTTCCCCTGCTATTTATCTTACAACCGAGTCTTAGAAAATCGAAGAAGAATATTTTTACCCTCCCAAAAACCACAAATCATGAAACTTTAAATATGTTTCATAGAAATCTCAAACCCATAAGTAAATGCAATTGATTTCCCCTTAGTATCCTTATAATTGTAGTGTTCCCGTCAGGT